AATAATAATAATAATAATAATAATAATAATAATAATAATAATAATAACAATAGTAATAATAAAAACAACAATTATTATAATTATTATTATTACTATTATTACAATACGTGGACTGAACACACACACACATCTATATATAAATATATATAGAGGCAACAGTAGCAGCAGCAGCAGCAACAAAATTCTATACATGTACGCACTACCGTTACCGCAAACGCATAAATTCTAGTGAGTAAAATAATATCATACCGAGTACATTATTATATTATATTATAACATTTTTGTTTTGACCACCTGTACACCCTGAACAATATGTTGTCTAGAGGTGGTGATGATTATAAAATATCTTATATTGCGCATAAAAAAATTAAACAATTTCGTTCAACGTTCAAATCAAACAAAATGGCGTTTTAATTTTTTGTGTACTATTCTGTGTGTTTGTGTGTGTGCGTACTGAATATATATATATATAATAAATACAACAGTACCTACGTATTGAAGATGTTATTATCATGATGACAATAAAACTGTGTATTGAATTATTATGTCATACATCGAATTAATATCAGCGAGAGGTGTTATAAAAAAATGTGATACTTAGAAGTACTTCTATTTATACACACACACACATACACACACATATATATATATATATGCATATGATTATGGTATGCAGTTAGTAATATTTTAACTACTTCAAACAACAACAACAACATCAACAACTGTTAGGGTTAATACTAATTATGGTATTATATACTTGTACAAACATTTGATATTTTATATGTATAATATAGCACTCTTACTATATAATACTATACATATATTGAAAATATCTAAATAGTTGGTACACAGACGGCCATAGTATACACAAGGGAATATGAAGATGAGAGAGTGATAGGTCAGAGTGACAAGGATGGAACGCGGACCGTACACGGCAATATAATTTTATATCACAATGTGTACAGTCATACGCATGCAGAGTATTAGTATAGTATTATAATAGATATATAATAACTAGTAAAACGTATGGTAGGATGGGTTATTAAAAGGATAAAATATTTTCCATTTATATACAATTTAGTCCAATACTCGAATAGATAAATATAAATACACACATTCATATAAACTTATATATATATATATATATATATATATATAAATGTGTGTGTATATATAATTTATGTATTAATATAAACAGAAACCATCTGTATAACACGTATAACATGTATGGATTTTAAATAACAAAGATCTAAAAAACAACTCAAAATTAAATCGAAAAATTTAAATTAAAAAACCAAAAGCAAATCGGCCGGATTTCTACTGACAAATACTACTTTTATTTATTTCTGTTTTATAATGTAAACAACACAGCATTTTTAAACATTTAACTACTAGAGTGCGTAAAGAACTAAGTTATTAAAAAAAAAAAAAAATTAATAATAATAATCATAAATAATAAAAGAAACGAAGGATTCACGTAGGTATCTATTACTACTTGTTAATATTTTTTTACGATTTTTTTTATATACGTAGGTCTACACACGAATAGTAAAGAACATCTACACAGAAACTAAATAAATTGATAATAATAATGATGATAATAATAATAATAATAATAATAATAATAATAATAATAATAATAATTAAAAAAAAATTGTCAAAATGTGTACACTTAAATACTTCTTACATCTAAATTTTTAATAATAAATAGTAGTTAATAATTACTCTACAAAAAAATGTCTAAACTAAAAATACTGTTAAAATACACACCAAGTCTAAATGACTTTGACATTAAAAATATATACCTAGTATAGGTTTAAAACGTACTAAAAGTCTAGGTCTAGGATACGACACAAAACCGGAGTATGTAAAAGCATCGCTAACCCTCTTCATATAATTGCTTTTTCTTCCTTTTATTAACTCTCAAAATATTACAAAAATAGAGGGCTTACCACTAGTAAAACTATACTAAAAAAAAAAAAAAAAAATTACAAAAAAAAAATTAAACAAAGAGATCAATAACCTTTTAAGTATTATTGCTTTACATACATAATAATGATCTAATTAGTATTGTCCAGTCGAATCAGTGCTTTTCGTAACTTTTACTTGTTTAATTCTAATACAACTAAAAACTAAAACGCATTGAAAATTTAAATTATTATATTCTTAGTAGATTATATATATACATATAAATATATGTATATATACATATATTATACGTTTTTAAATCATTAGTATCTAACTAAATATTGAACTCGTGAGATTTTCATTACTTATTTAAGTAAATGATAAAAAAAACAAAAAAAAAAAAAACAATGTACGATCAATCACTAAGGCGGACAGCTAAAATTAAATAGTTGAACAACTCCAATGTCTTTTTTCTACTGATTTAAGTATACAATAAGTAGTGAGAAAGTAAACAAAAAAATATATACATATATTATAAAGAATTATGGTTTTTGTTATACATTTTTATATGTTATATTTTCTCTCTAAGTTATACTACTACTAGAGTGAGTTAGTAAATCTGATTTTAATGAAGCATTTGATATAGAAGAATGATAAGAAGCGAAAGATAAATAATGTTTATGCATACATATACATACATGTAAATTAATACACGCGTGTATGCATAAAAAGAGAGAGAGAGAGAGAGAGAGAAAAGAAAGAGAGAAAATAGAATAATTATGAAATTGTATTAAAAAAAAAAAATTGTCATGATGTATGCTTGTGAGCTTTGGTCCTTAATGGAATGTATTTTCTCTACTGATCATTGGAATTTTTTTTAGAGCAAAATAATACATCAACTAATAATTACACGTTATTTAGACACTAATCACACTACTATTAGAAAGTTGAGAAATAGTAAAAATTAATAATAATAATAATAATAATAATAATAATAATAATGATACATAAAAATAATAATAATATTAATATTAACTGACTAGAAATCGTTCGTTTTAATCCGATGAAAAAGTAACTCACGACAATGAGGCAGTGGTATGGCACATACGCGGATTGATCTCCAAAGATCTGGCTGTCAGCCTCGTCGATTTTGAAAAAACAAAATAGATTATGTGAAATCAGGGAGGTGGATATTAGATGTATGAGTGATTTTTTTTTTTTATTTTTTTTTTTTTATTTTGGTTGAATATTAAAAAAATAATTTCAATGATAGAATGTATCTGAGCAACAAGAGAATGTTTTTCGTTTTTGTTCGGTTATTTTTTTGGTTTATTTTTTTCGTGAAAAAAAATTGACCTGACCAACACACATACAGCACAGAACGCAACAGGGACGCCTAAACGTACATGCCACCCATGCCGTACATGGACGACCAGTCGATCCCTTGGAAGCCACTCATGTCGATGCCGGACAGACTGTATGCCGGATACGCGGCCTGAGTGGCCGCGGCAGCTGTGGGCACTGGTTGCGGGGCAGCTGCTGCTGGCTGTGGGGCCGTGGCTGCGGTTACCGGCACTGGATACGGCGCGTAACGGTAGCTGGCCAGTCCCGGGTACGTGGCGAACAGCTTGTTATAGTTATGAGCGGCCACCGCGGCCGCGGCGGCTTGGGCTTGTGCCTGCGCTTGAGCCTGAGCTTGTTGCACGGCGGCCAGCTGATGAGTGGCCTGCGAAACCGGAGCAGAGGCCACGCGAACGCCTAGTGGCCCGCCGACCAGCACCGGGCGCTTGCCCAACAACAAGCCCGCGGCGGCTGCAGCGGCCGGCTGCACCAGTTCCTTGGGTTGCGCCTTCTTGCACTCCACCTTCTTATTCTTGATCGTATGGAAGTGTATCTCGCATATGGTGTCCACAATGTCATCGTTCTCGAACGTGACGAACCCGAAGCCGCGGTGCCTCTTGGTATGCTGGTCCATCAGCATCACCGTCTCCTCGACCTTGCCGAACTGGCTGAAGTACGCCTTCACCTCGTCCGCGGTCGTGTCCTGGCTAACGCCGCCCACGAATATCTTCTTGGTCTTGCTGCCGGCCTTGGGGCGATTCTTGGGCGTCGCGTGCTTTGGGTCGATTTTCTTGCCATCCAACGTGTGTATGGGTACGGCCAACACCTTTTCCACCGTCTCGGCGTCCGAAAACGTGATGAATCCGAAACCGCGACTCCTCTGAAACGCAAAAAAATAAGCACACATAGAGATACGTCGAAAAAAATCTAAAGAGAAACGGTCGTCCGCGTCTGCATGTGAGAAAAAAAAAAAATGAAAAACATTGCTCACTTGCGTGATGGGGTCCTTCATGATGAGCACGTTGGTCACGTCGCCGAACATGCCGAAATACTGTTTGAGCTTGTCGGCCGAAGTCTGCCAGCTGAGACCGCCGACGAACAGCTTTGCCGACGTGCCTTCAGTGCTGCTGTTCGGCGTAGACCGGCCGCTGGGCGATGGTGCCGATCCTTGTTGTTCCACGGCGCCGTTCTGCTTACCGCCACCGCTGTTCATCATGAGGACCTGCTGCTGCTGCTGTTGCTGTTGTTGTTGCTGCTGCTGCTGTTGCTGCTGTTGTTGCTGCTGCTGTTGCTGCTGCGCGGCCATTGCGACCGCGACGTCTTGAGCGGACTGGCCGCCGTTTTGTAACGGCGATCCGTTCTTGTTGGCCGCCGACACCGCGGTCGGCTGTGGCTGAGCGATTTTCACCAGGCCCGGCAGTGGACCACGCACCGACTGATGGTGCGGGTGCAACGACAGCGGCACCGGCGTGGCCGTCATCGGCTGCGGTAGGCCCATGCCGCTAGCGGCCAACATGCCGCTGAAATCAGCCGCGTGTTCGGCCAGCGTGGCCATTTGGTCCACTCCCAAACTGCGAAAAACCAAAACAAAACGAGATATTAAAACACTTAAACGTCGGTTACACGCACATGCACACGCGCAATAGCACATTATGTTTCCGTCGATTCAATACATTGTTAGGAAGAAAAAATAAAATAAAATGATTATAATGCCTTTTTTTTTTTTTTCTACAGGTGAGCTTGATGGTCAAGGCGGTCATACACAAACAAATGTTATCGTATTGCTTAGAATAATGCAGTATGGATTAGTTTATAAAGACAATATTACGGCGGCGTATTATTTCAATCGATATTAGAATTCATACCAACAACTACGTCTCAACAACAACAATAATAACAACAATAACAACATGGTAAGTCTACGCAAACTCAGCTATATGTGTGATGTACAACAAAATGTAATACAATGATAAATCTATTAACATATTAATATCTATAGTATACAAATCACCCTGAATGCGTGAGTGTTATAATAATATTATTATTATAAGTTCTTTATTATTTTTGTGTTCCGCAGATCAGATCGGATTATTATCTACACGGTTCGGATGACAAGAGCTGCCAGGATTGCAGAGTTCTGAATCTCGTATACAATGGAATTCTGCCCCCTCCCCTATACAATGGATAACACTCCGATATTGTCCTGTCACAGCAGTAATGTCACGTATGCGAATCGTACTGCTGTCGCGGGACATTTTCGGAGATGTCGTTCATGTACACCAGAAACTTGGCGAATACACGCACCGAACATCGCCGGAATGTGATTACACGTCGAAAGAGATATTTACGTTGTCGCGTACGGAAATATTTAAAAAATTAACGAACGTGATTTTTGTATTTTTTTTTTTGCCATTCTGTTTTACATTCAAAAACCAATTTTGTACATTAAATAGCAATAGAACATTATTGCGAATATTTATTTATTTTTGTCTACGAATTATGATTTTGACCGTCGTATTGAATTTTCATAATATTTGACTTATTATATCAGTGTACCTCACACGTATATACGGTGTATAAATGATTTATAAATGATTTTATTATGATGAATGAAGAGGGCAGTGGCGGATCTATGTTTTTGTTTTAGGAAGACCTTAAGTCTTTCAATAAATTATAAAATACACGACTCTAATCTGTAAATTATAGATAAGATTATTCTAAATGGTTAAAGTCTTTAAATTTATCCTAAAATGTATTATTTATATCATATTAGTAATAGGAAAAATCGAGAAATTTTATAAATTCGATCCCAAAATAATTTTATTTGATTGTATTATTTATAATTTTTACGTTGCAACTATTACTAAACAAACTGATTTCTCGGGCTGATGGGAGAGCCAAGTTAGGTTAGATAGGTTATCCCCTGCCCCCTTAAATCTGCCGTTGGAGGAGATGCTGTTTATCAGTTCTAGATATTCCAGAAATTGTCAAACATAAGCGTGTTGTATTCAAGTGGTTATTTTTAACGGTAATAAAATGAAAAATAAATATCTGGGATCATTATTGTATTTAAAGCCAGGTTATATTTAAAGACTTTCTGATTTGTTTTATTATTTTAAGTTTCATGCTGTACCTATGATATTGTATTTTAATGGTAGCTCTGGAAGTACTATAAATATTTACATTTTTCTCTGAGAAATTGATTAATAGATAATACTACCACAAACTTAAAAATATATTGATATTCAAATTAAATAAGAACTAAAATTTGAAATGTAATAAAATAATAGATTTTAAAATTCTAGACTTCAAAATAATAATGTACCTAATTTTTTGGTTGTTTCGTATCACCTTTATTCTAATGGGTGATTTTATTTAAATCTCAAATATTATTTTCTAAAAGTTAAGTTATCATTGCAAATAAATGAAAATTCTACTATAAATGACTAATGTAGGTACTCTAAATTAAATTCAAATATTAAAAAGCTAAGCTGTGTTTTATAAATTACTTAGTAACAATAAAAATATTTTTTCATGAACTATTACATACATTTTCAAATATTTAAATAATTTCATACATAATTAAATATACGGGAACAACCATTAAAGTTGATGGGCGCTATAAATAAATATTTTGGTTTTAATATTTTATTTATAACTAATTCAATTTATTGGTTGCCAAATGCTAGTTTAAATGCGTAATTTGTTACATTTAAAACTATTTTATACTATAAACGCAAACTTAATTTATAATAAATAAACCATGAGCATTCAAATATGTATCTTTTTCTTAAAAAGCAAAAATTATAACAATCATTAATTATCTGTTCACGGGTGACATACATATTGCACGCGAAAGAAAACGAATATACTTGTGTATCATGTAAAAAAAAAAGTATAGTTTTAGTATAAAGTTCAGTTAGTTACACATAAATTGAGATACTAGCCAATTAAATATTATATCTAATGTAGTAACGGCATGTTACATGTACATATGTCTGTACAATGTATAAATAATGAATACGTTCATGTGGAATAAAAATTTAAATAAATGTTGTGATAATACATTCAAACATTTTTATTGTTGCTAATAAGCAATAATAAACTGTAATACATACAAATAGGTACATTAGATAGGGATTATAATATATTATGTATAAACGTCAGTAAATCGAATTAATTAAATAGGTTCATAAAAATAAGTGATTTAAATGTAAACAAATAAAATATAAAATTTTATTCAATTACTGAACACAAATTAGATTAAAATTTGCCAATATGACTACTTATATTTATATATATTTTTTTTTTGCCGAGTCTTTGTAAGAAAGCTATTACTCTTGTTGATCCATATGCAAATTACACTGTTTATGTTTATACTGTATTTATAACTATATGACGTGAGATTTTATTTTTAAATGTCTTACATGCGATTACTTATTATAAAGAGCTGGTTGGACGATACACGATATCGTTTATATCCTTTATTACATATTTAAACGCAAAACATAAATTGATAACATTTAGTACTTTCTTTTTATGAACATAAATCATTTTGATATATATTTATTACTTAAATGAATCCTCAAGCCTCTCCACCCTCTTTTCCTTTAACCTATACGGAACTTGGCTAACGGACCTACATAATATTATATACAACTTTGCTATAACGTAAAAACATATTAATCATCCATCAATCAATGTTACTTAATAGACTTGATACTATTGTGTTTCTCGAATTAATTATTATTATTACAATGATACAACTCAAGGGTGAAAGAAATCGATAAGACCGTGTCACGTCAGACTATTCACTGTTTTAAGTTTATCACCATCCGATCGTATTTAAATTATTATAAAAACGTATTCCATAATTATTTTACACAAATATATATATATATATATATAAACAATTTTTTCAATTTTATATTTCTTATTCAACAGTATAGTTTTTCAATTAGTTTGGTCGTCATTATACTAATAAATGAAAAAACTCTAAACATTTTTATAAAGATTAAACAAATTAATCGATATTGATAACGATAAATAAAAGCACTTTAACTGACAAAAAACGGAAATAGCAAACGCATTTTGACGGTGGAAAGAAAATATAGTTCAAAATTATTAATACTTCAATACGTTCCAACAAACTCGAGACGGCAATGATTGCGTTTAAATTAAACGAAACCAAGATAAAAAATGAAAGTTTTATTTTTACACTTTAAGCCGATAAATGTTATTCAGTATTCAGTACTGACATCGTGCGTTTTGAAAGAAATGCATTTCGTATTCAATATGGTTCACTAGAAAATAATGTAGACTGCAGGACTGCAATTGGTTTTTTTTAAATCGAAGTATGAAAACCATCATTGATCAAAATTGAATTGAGTAAAACACATTGTTTCAGTATTATAGTAACTTTACAAGATAGTATTTTATTATTATATATAACTATAATATATATATATGTATATAACATTATATGTAAATCATAATAATATTTAGACTGGTCCCAAAAGTCTTGAATACTCGTATTTTATTGTTAAGATATATCATGTCGCCATGCATGTATAATGTATAACATTCATACATATATTATGTGTATGCATGTAATGTAATACGTGAATATATTTTAATCTCTTATTCTTTAGTTTCAAAATTCTAAGACATGTCTGAGTCGAAAAATATAAGAAAATTTAAACTCACAAGTTTTGAATTTGTTATTTAAAAATCGTATGAAAATCCAATTTGACTTTAAAATATAAGTGTTAAATAATATAGCATATTTAACCGTATGTACATACAAATAGATAAACTCATACTTTTTATACTATACATAATTAGAAATAAGATATAATACAGCTTATACATAATAAAGATATATCTTTGGATCAAAAGCTAGATAAAAATAACATCTTACATGCGTTATGAAATTATTTGATTTCGTTTTTGTTATTACAAATTAAGTAATATTTTGATAAATGTTTCGTTGAACTCATTGTGTTGCATTTAACAATTTAAATACCTATATACGTGTTTGTACATTCAGAAGAAATAGTTACATAATAACTCATTTTGTTATCATGGAGTGACAAAATCCAAAGCACAATAGTATACAATGTAACTTTAGACTATTATAAAGTATCTCTTTTTGAGTTTAATTGAAAAAGGAAAATGCTTTTTAACCTTCGGATGCCAGAAATACTTGGCCGCCACGTAGTGTACACGGTTGTAGTTTAAAATGACGCAGACTTAATTTTTCATAAATAATTTATTTTTAACACGAGAAAACGGTCAAAAGTAGTTGTTTATCTGTTAACTAAAGTATATGACCTTTCAAAATGATAGTTTCGGAACATCGAATTTCGTGTACAAGTTAATACCGCAGTTGCGATTCCTTGAAATCATTGAACCAATGCAGTTGAAATCGCATCGATTTGGAAAAATTAAGATAAAATGTACGTTTCACAATACGATATACTATTTTATTTCCGTCCACCATATAATTATTATCGGTGCACAAGTTCGCTTTGAACGTGCACAAAACAGTCGCGACATATCTAATTTATTTGTATTTTAATTCGTTGTTCGCATCACTAAGCTTGGAACTAAGGTCATATTTTAAAAAACGGGTGCCTTTCAAATCGAACCCTACAAAACACTTCCAGAACCGGGTGAAGATATTTTCGTTTACGGCAGACACGACGAGTTTCTCCGAACGAGATTTCACGACAGACCGATTTGGCTGATAAAAAAATCCAATCGTACACACAACAATTGGCATCATGTACAGATATTAATTCAATAACGTTCGTACTGGAACGCGACAAATCTAAATGCGTATTACAGCGACAATTTGAAGTATATAGTAAATTGGTGGTGCGTGTCACGTCGTGCACAACACGACGGTTCAAAGACGAAGGAAACGGTGGTGGCGACAGGCCTCAGGTCCTGCGACGAAGGCACGTGCGCGCTTACGATCCTGTACCTCTCTCTCCCCAGGCTGATTGGCGTGCCGCAACGATGCCCGCAGTGTCGCATTCCCGACCCCTACTGTAATCGAGGTAGTGGTGGTAACAACAGCGACCGGTCACTGGTGAACCGTACTCGCCGCACAAGGAAATTCCAATAATGTTCAAATTTTCAGCTCTTATACGTACCGATAAAAATGAAATGAACAGTTAGGTAGCCATGTCCACTGATAATGTATGTCCGATAAGGAGATAATATGCTACTACATTATTATTAAAATTAAATTATTAATAAAATTGCACGTAATTGTTAAAATGTTTCATTGTTTATCAATTACCTATTGGCGCAAAACAATATCATCAACTTAATCGACTTACAAAAACCACATGATAAGTTAATATTATTTTGTACAATAGGTAATAATCATTCGTAAACACTTAAGAACACTATAGTCTCTTCGAGCGCACAACGTTCTGTATCTTATGTGTTTTATAAGATTAAAATTCCAGTTTTATTTTCTATATTATTTATGTCTACACAACGCACGGCAGTCAACACGGCGTATATTTCGATGGGTATTTCCAGTACTGGGTAACTACGCGACGTAGTTTTTTTTTTATTATTTATTTGGGTATCAATTTTTTTTTGTTGTGAATAAAATCGATTTTCTATTTTCCAAAACACACACGGCGGGGGCCCTTTTATTTTATTAAAAATGTCGAGTGGAAGTTATATAATATGTATGCGCGC